AACTTGGATGCAAAGGTTACAATTGATTTTCTGAAAGAGTTACACCTACGAACAATATGCTCGACAGGGTTGTATCTGCGCATTATACTCGGAGTCGTGCAAGCACGAACGATGGAACCTGTTCGGAATAAGCGTCGACCAGGCATTTTTTGAAGGGAATAATACCGTACCCGGCTGGTCTTCGGTGATATTTCAGTGATTTCCGTGGAAACCAATCTCCCAAATGCTCGATTCGTTCAAAGCCAACGAGAATCGTACCCTGGCACGTCCAGAGTCCACGGACGGCGTCGTGTTTTAGCTGGACATGCGAGAGGGATCCCCTTTCCCGATGCAGACGCGTGCACGAGTGTTTCCCTGGCAACCGTAAACAGGCGTCCCTGATATTCCACGAGCTCGTATCGCAGAGGTAAACCCTTTCGCGCAGGTACGCCATTGAGACCAGAGATGGGCAAAATTATATTGAAATAGTTAGATGGATAAGACAGATGTTTATCGACGCGGCATAGAATCCATCAAGGATGCAGGAATGTATAATGTTTAATGGAGGCTGCGAATATAAAGGGTGTATAGCATATTCGAATGTTAATATTAAATGAAATTTAATTCCGAGATTTAAACTCTAATCGTCATTAAAATTTGTAACTAGACGAGAGTTTTGACCATCTCCGACGGAGACGTGTTTCTCCGTACCGTCTCTATGGATTAAGTTCCAATGGACGCTCGTAAAAGCTTTTACCAGGGGGGGAGCCGGGGGCGACGACACCGGTCGTTCCTGAAGAGCATATCCTCCGTGCCCCGTAATTTTCCGTATCGACCTTATCCGTCGAGATTTCGGCGCGTTACGTTCGCGAGAACGACCGCAATCTTCGTAATGGACAGGAATCTGTCCTGTAGCCTCGACCGACCAGTCTTTTCTCCACAGTAAATCGTCTCGAAGGAGGGATCGTTTCCCGTCCGCTTGTCCGCGCTTCCCGTTGCACGACAGACCCTGAATAGCGATGGAATCGAACCTGTCGCGAGTTCCATCCAGACGAGTTCCATCCAGACGAGTTGCTTCCCTGTGGCTAATCGATGACTTAAGAGATCCTCCCTAATTAGACGCGAACTACATCATACCTCAATTTCATCAAAATTTAATAAATGCTATATTCATGTAAAAAAAGAAGCCTTCCATTCCCTCCTCTGGTGACGTGCTCGGTGCACAGGTGCAGCTCAAGGAACAGTCTGCGTTTTTATACGCGGATCGTTATCGATAACGATCGTATCAGCTTGTTGAACACTTAGAGGATAATCTAATCTATCGATAATACGATTGGACCGCGCGATTAAGGTGGACTATGCAGTGCAATCAGTGCACCTTAACGCGAACGAACGGCTGTCTCATCTTTCGACGCGACGCACGGCTATAATATTGCGCGAATAAAGCTACGAAATTTAACGATGAGTAACGACGACGTCGGACCTCAGCCGCGTTTTAATTTTAATATAAATTCATGGGCTCGTGACCACAGTCACAGTCCAATTTCATTACCGAATTTAATGGCCCCGACGCTGATAAAACAGCCCACGGTATCTAGCCAACGATCTGGGTCTCCGTGAAAGATTGAACGGCTATTTTTAATCCTCCTAATCGCAGGAACACTCTGAAAGGAGACAGAGTGGCTGAAATAAATTCTGTACGGATTACGATAACTCAGGGATTCGCAATGGGGACCGAATGCGTCTGTACTCCATCCCTCTATACTTAGAACAGCTGTATTTCCACGAGAGGAGTTAAAAAGAGGTTGAGAAGCCCTGAAGCCTGACCGACACTCCGAGTTGCGTTATAACGAGTCGAACGATCTCGTATTTTTACTCGATACATTCCCTGTTTCCTCTCTCTCTCTTTTTTTTTTTTTTTGTAACGAATTAGCAAATCTATATCTCGAGCTCGGCTGAATTCATGCCCTGGCACTTTTAATCCGCGCGATAATCTTTATCTTCGAACAAAGTCGGTTGAAAAGTTTATTGCAGAACAGATTAAGAGCGATTGTTTACCGTGATTCGAAGTTATTGTTGCCAGATCGATTGATTTCTTCGTGTTTGACGATATTTATGAAAAATAATAGAAGTCACGCAATCTTAATTAATCGTTTGGAATCACGCGTGAGTTTTACATCTTGTTTACTCGTTACGATCAATCAACTTCGCAGATAACGATAGACGATAGGCGATAGGCATTGTTAATTGTGTGTACAGACTTTTGTTACGATTCGTTCGACCATCTGGGTTTGAGGACGATCCAGAAGGTTCCGTAGAATTGATCTGTACTGGTATCAGATGCTGGCAAAACTTTTTTCTGGGTAGAGATTAGGGGGTGTCTTTTTCTCTCAATTTTTTTATGAATACGAGTCAACGTGATTTTTTCCGAAATAATGAAACGTCGTGATTCGTTGAAAACAAATCTGCAAATTTCAAGAATTCTCATTTCGAAACAGGACTATTAGTTATTCTAATAAATTTTCATTGATATTTGTTAAGATTTTCGTGTTTGAGGATGTCTTTCTTTCACGCATAATCGTAATTTTTTCGAAAATTTATGAAACGAAAATAAAAAAAGTTATAATTTCGTGAAAGGATTTGTAGATTCTAACAACGTCTATTTTAATTACGAGTGTATAATATAAAAGAAGTTGTATTTATTTAAAACGGTGATTTTAAGTTCGACATTTCGTATGTAACAACCTGATAATTGTATACGAACATGAAACCTTTGCGTACCCTTGAGTACCCCTGACGACGAGGAACGTTTCGCCCGGCTGTGCAGCGGGTCGTCTTCGATCAGGCGAACCTCCGTTCGCCGATGAAGCGGTCGCACACCAATTAAACACAATCGGAGGCAATTAGACGATACCGTCGGGTGATTAGAACAAGGAAACTGATTGCACACAGTCCTCGAGGTCACGAAGGATCCTCGTACCACCTACTCGTTGCACAATTCTCCAAATCGAGTAATTCAGCGGATAATCGTTAACCGTCGTCTTACATATTTTCCGTTGATCGACCACGCAATTTAGTTGTATCGATAAATTTAATCGCGAACCCGGATAAGAGTCGAGGATCGTTCACGAAAGTCAACCTATCGCCTCGGAGAACGTCTAGACGCAAAACGAACGACCATACCGCGAAAGATTCGCAAAGCCTCCGTTATGGAGGACTCCGATTTCCATAAATTGTATCCCGAGACGCTGGTTCGCTCGTTTAGACTTTATACGCCCTCCGTGGACTAAATTTTCGACCGTAAATGGACCGTTAGAGGATAGGATACTTTATATCACGCCACTTTATCTCACGGAGGAACATTGTAAGTTTTTCGACGCTGATTCACGTTGAACTTCTGAAGCTGTTTGAATTATCGATTGTCTTTAACTTGGTACCACTTTCGATGTTTTCCTATGCATATTTAAACTTCGAAAATTGCTTGTCTTCGAGGTATCATAGGATCTGTCAGTCGCAAACGGTCGTCTCGGTGTGTCTCGAAGTCTCTCTTTGATCAAAAACACCGCTCAAGATTCCAATCGTGTTCGCATGGCTCGTGATTCATCCAGAAAGGTGTATCGTTGGTTGCTGGCCGGAATTGAGCTTTATCCGTGGAACATATTGAAGCAACCGACCGGATGGAAACTCTCGGTTTCGGTGGTATACGAGCTCACCATCCCCTTTCTCTAAAACTGACGATTCAGTTCACCCCGAGGGTCCTCGAGGACTGCTGGAAACAACGCTGATGAAACTGGTCGCACGTGGCACGTCTGCCACGCGTTTCCCTCGCGTTTCCCTCGCGAGTTGCTACATTTTGTTTCGGCTCGTTCCATTGCTTCAAAAGTGAAAACTCGAGGGGGTGGAAAACGATTGGAAACACTGAATTTCGCTTCGCTGCTGTCTATGTGGTTTTTTTTTTCAACCGCGTCGAGTGTTTTTAATCCTTCTTTACTTTTGACTGACACTGTTATTTTTTTTTATTTTTCAAGAATCTATCGATTCAAAAACCTCCCTCGACTGGCGAATGTTTCCTTCCAGCCCACGTTTGGGTTGCTCGCGGCTAATCCAGGGGAATCCGGTAATTTATGCGGGCGTTATAGTAGGCTTGTTTGCTCGAAGCGTTAGTTACGTGAGAAAAGTCACGGTTTGCGGAGACTCGATGCGATAGCGATTAAACCCCGGTCATTTGTTCGGTCCAGTGTGCAACGTGAATAATGCTGAATAGCCAAGCTGCCTCGTACAGATCTACTGTACGCAACATTAGCCCCTGGCACGATTATTTACCACCATCCCCCTTGATAAATGTACACGCACCAGAATCAACTTGCTTCCGCATCAACGTTACCAAGGCTTTCCATCCAAACGGCCAACGCCTCGATCGACGTTATTAATTTTAGAATTTTACCAATGTTAGAAAAGAGAATGCAACGCAGAGTTACACTATAGGCCATTATTCGCTGGGTGTCATACTTATTTCCTACCTCGACTATCGTGGTAGAAACATAGCAAGAGTCACGTCACCTTCCTCGATAATGAACTAATTTATGACTAATTTACTGAGTCATTCATCAATGCCTTATCAGGCCCGATAATACAGTTCGTTTGAAAGCCTGTTCGCAAAGTGTCACAGGCTGAAACCTCACGTATGACAAGAAGAAATAGCATTACATCGTGCACGGAATAAATTACCAAACTCCAAAGCAAATATTTAACGTTGCCTTCGAGAGACAGAGATGGATCTTCTCTTTTTCTCTCCGACATCGTTTCGACGGTTATTGTTTTAGTTGAGCTCGTAGGTTTGAAATTATCTAAAGCACAATTACTCACACGTGGTTTTTGGCAGGTATCCCGCGATCAATTGTATATCGTACACAAAACACAGCATTTGAAGCCATGCATAAACAATACTATTGATACTAGATGACAAATGATGCTGATAAATTTCGAAGGTCGAGGAATATTGTATATAAAAACTAGCCCAGGTACCGTGTTGGCACCATACGCGATCGAAAAGTTATATAGAGATTCTTGAAGCTACAGAAGTCTAAGTAGCACACGACGATGTCTCGCGCCGTTGTTTTCCTTCTGCTCGTCGCCATTGCGTACATTGGTTGTGAGTATTCGTTAGTTTAGATGATTGCCAAATTTGATATTACTGCTGCGTTAAATGCATATTTCTCTATTGTTTGGTATTATATCGAGTTATCGTTGTCTTATTCTGTCGTAACGACCAGCAAAACTTTATCCTTCGTGTTTGAGATTAAGCATTTTCAATTCACTCGTGAAGTAGTCCTTCTTTCCCAAGTTATTTGTGTTTACGTTTGTACAGTGAGCACTGTTGAGGCCGATTGTGGTCCCAACGAGATCTGGAAACAATGCTCGAGCAAATGCGAGCCTACGTGCCGCAATCCAATGTCCATGTGCATCGAGGTTAGTGTCAGTCTTTTTTTCTTAAGGTGACAAATTAGAACGATGAACTATGATTTGGGTTTCTTTAGGAATGCGGTGAACCCATGTGCCAATGTAACCCAAACTACGTCAGGAACTCCCAAAACGAATGTGTCCTCTACTCCAGGTGTTGAGTGGAATGATTTTATTTACCTATGGCGAACTTAGTTTTCGTGAAAAATTTGTTGACCTTTAAAATGGATAATAAATAATTTGCATTCAAGAATTTATCAAGCGTTCGAGACGCTTTGTAAAACAAAGCTTTAGTCCCCTTTATAAATCCATGAATCCTTCTTAGGAAATCCAAGACGTATGTTGCATTAATCGTCAGTTGTTGAAGGCACGTGCGCTCGATTCTTGGCGAACGTTGGCACATGTGCCTTCAGTTGCTCTTTAACTTTCGACAATCCCTTTGTTCGCGAACGACATTGTACTAAACGGCGGTGAATCGTTTAATCGGCGGATAGGAGCGCCATGGAGATATAAATCTTATCTGCGGAAGTATTATCAATGAATCATTCTCGACTTATCTAACTCAAAAACGATCACGTAGAGTCTATGAATCAGCTGCGCTTCTTTAATAAATCTCAACTATAGCTTCATGTATACCTTTTTGGTAACTTACATAGCCACAAAGTATTCATCCATTCGAAATAAATTAACGGCACAATTATATCCGTTACGTAACAGTGATTTAAGAATCCGTCTAACTTACAACGATATCTAATCTTTTTATTTAATTAAAAGGCTTTGTCCTCGATAGCAGTCGCATGGATATCGAGGGTGATCGATTACGTTCAACGTTTGATACACGATAGGCCGTTTCTATGCGACGCTTAACATTTTTGAAAAGGAATATCGTATATCGTAACGCACGTTTGCGTTTAGTATTTTACAATTCTAAAATAATCTCGAACGCTACCGTGACCACCAACGAAATGTGTGAAGCGTGCGATAAAGTGTTTGATATACGAAAATGCGGAGGCTGGTTCGATCGATTTCGAAATGGGGACTTCAGTCTTGAAGATAAAGCGGGTAGAGGCCGTAAAGTCGAGCTGGACACCAATGTATTAAGGGATCATCTCGTATCCGTGGCTATCCGAGGAACGGGTAATATTTTCGAGGTCTTTAATAAAACTATCCTAACTTATCTTAGAAAAATTGTTGTAGACGTTAAACGAGGCGTTTCGACTCCGTACCAGAGATGAGAAAAATTCCTACCTGGAGAATATTTTTATCTTCCCTGAGACGGAACAGTATTTCGCATAGAAAGTCGATGATGGAAGAGATGGGTGGCTTGGCTGGTAACGAACGAACAGTATAACATTGGTTGAATAAGTTTAATTTTATAGCAAAAATATATAACTCAATTCTAACACAACCTCTCGTATCAAATACATCAATACACAGGCTTGACAAAAGTAAGCGATACAGGATAAAATCATTTAGTCGGCATCACTAAGGATTAAGTATAAGTTACGCAGGATCGAACTCAGTTCTACCGCGCGCAACAGTCGCTAATTGGACTTAAATTAAAACTCCCACGTTAATCGCAGCTCCACAGGGATTAACAGTCGCGAGTGAGGACGCACTTGTTCTCCTTGTTCCTCACGTATCCATCCATGCATTGGCAGCCAACCACGCAATTCTGAAACAAAGAGTCACGTAAGGATTAAACGGGGCGGTTCGATCGATCAATGGTCGCGACAGTAAAAGATAAACGGTGCTTTAATCGTGACTCCGTGGGATTAAAATTGAATGGATTCGTAGAATAAAATATCACACAATGAACAATTACAAACGTCGCTATTCGATCAAACAAACGATACAAATGATTACTAACCATCGTACAGACTGATGTCGCCCGTCGTTCACACGTGTCCACGCATGCCGATCCGCAAGCGTTGAAAACTTCATTGGGACCGCACTCTTGAGAGGCTTCTTGTCCCTCGGGAAACGCAGCTGCCACAAATTCACAGATTATTAGAAATTACTAACGAACTCGGACGACCTTCGAGAGCTTTCGAATTACTTACCTGTGTAAGCAACAGCCACGACGACCAAGAAAAGAACGATAGCGCGAGACATGGTTCTAGGAAGAGTGGGTACGTTGATTTCACGACGAGAAAATTCACTGATTTCTGTTTCGCCTCGTGACTACGAATGATGACATCTCCCAGTCGCGTCCAGCTTTTATAGGAACTGTTCCGTGATCAGTGCGCCTTGTCTACACGACGCGCTGCTTAATTTTCACCGCTTCCGTCAACTCTACCAATCCCGATTCGCGTAGATTATCACTTACACTCGAGACATCGACCGTAGGTTATCTCGGACGATAATTTTGAACAGTACGTTGGATCGATGCAAGTCTCAGTATTTTACACATGTCGTATTAATTGTATGCAATTGCAATTACTATTTTTGCACGATGTTGCTTAGTAGATTCTCCATGGAAAAATGTTCGCAAATTTATTTCATTTGTACATCATATTTCTACGTTCTTTAGTTTAAAGTTCCTTTAGTTTTTTGTTTAAATTCACCTTTAGAATATAATAGCAATAAGAAATGTTAACCTAGAAGGATCGTATCAAACTAAAGTTCGAAAAAGTTCGATAAACGACACCTGTCGCGATTATTTGTACCGATTATTTTTGGTTTAAATTTCGCCGCCGCCTGATAATAAGAAAATGTGGATGAGATGACCCTGATTGGCTTGAGAAAGGGATAGGGGTCAAAGGATCCGAGCGTCGTTTGTTGATTGGCCTCGGTCACCGCGCCCCTTCGGGATCCTTTCGGGTCGGTTCGATACGGTTTACGCAATCGTAATCAGTCATCCCTTGAATCGATCGCGAACAAAACACCGTGAATAGTAACTTCTAGTGATAGCGAATAGTTTCAATTGTGGTTTCTACTGTTCCAAAGGATTCTCATTCAGGGATTCCACATGAAACGTTGCCATTCCTGCTACAAGGTAAAAATTTTCCTACTTTTCTTTAACACATGTTTGCCTCGGATTTTACATCCTAGCATAATTTTTAATTCTAATAATAAAGAAGTCGGTTAATAAATATCCGAGGAGGTTCTGCCTTTGACTACCTAATCTTTATTTAATTTAATTCATCGAAGAGATTATTCTCCATTCCTTGAAAATTACTCGATATATCGAATCGAAACGTCGTTGATAAATTGCTTAGTATCGAAAATCGTTGAGACAGTCATGATTTATTCATACGACTACGATACGATTTTATTATACGATCTTCCGTTATCTGTCGATTTGTACTTGATTAATCGGTAGTCTCGATCTGACGGAATTCCATGCAAACTACGTGACTAGGATAGTTTCGTAAATATTGATAAGGCAGCAACCTTCTGAGACGTTTGTAAATACGCGAACGAAGGCAAACACGGTATTGCTCGAGGAGTTGTTGCAAAGTTTTCCCCACCAGCTCAAAGAAGCGATCCGTTTTGCATACTCCTAGGCCGTCCACGGTCCGGACCAACCCAAGTACGGGAATTCAATTAGAATTTCGCAAAATTGAGACGGAAGGTACATTTCAATAGCGTCGATTCGACAAGCGAGAGCAATAAATTTGTCTTTCGTATCGAACGGTCGAGTGGACGCTCGTCGTGCGTAAATGTTGGAAATTATTAATACCATCGTCCTCGTGTTCGTTGTTCGGTTGACTTTGCGTTGTTTGGATTACGTTAAGATCTTCGTGGAAGCGCAAGAGTGTTTGCACAGTGACGCGAACAGGTGGCACTTGTTTCACTAATTGCAATTTCTTAACGCGCGTCTACTCGGAACGAAAATTATGTCAACGTTTGTCTCTGAGAAATTACGATTACCAAATTTTTCCTCTTCTCTGTAAAAACAAAATTCGAATATATCTTTTTGATCGAAACGTCTATCGAAAATAAAAGCAAGCGTAATTACTATAAATTCGATGAACCTAAGGAAGTCATTGGTACTCGAATCTGATCCGAAACCATAAGAAAACATAGGTTCGAGTATTATGTCAGCGGCAATCGACTTATCAACGAAATGTTTCCAAAATTATTTGTGATCCTGTCTGATTAAGTCTGAAGTATCTCGCGCGGTAAATACACTCTAGAAGATTCGTTGTAATCGGTAAATTCGGCTATGATCCGATTAGATAATCGAGAATCTCGAGATTTGTTGTTGCACCTGTCGTGGAAATTTTCTCGGGGCGGCGGTAAATATTTTTCAAAAAGTGTTGTTTAACGCGTTACGTGTATATTAAAATAACAACCTTCCTTGGAAGCGATAATCCACTCGTCGACTTATATTTGGAACACGTTCTCGACGAGATCCGATCTGACCGATGGGTCGTGCTCTTTGACACGCTGATTCCGTGAAATAAATGTAATTGACCGAGTTTAATTCGTGTAACGTACACATCAATGTTTATGCGTTGCACAGCGCGGAGATGTTTACAGTCCCTTTACTTTGTATACACACCGAATTCTCCGTATTTCAAGTGTTATTGGCACGAGGCATCTGTTGGAATTTCCAGAGCACTCTGTACTTTGTTGTTCGTTCACAGAATGCTGAAAACAGTCCATTAGCTTTTTCTATTAAATATTCATGTTCGTTGTTCGACGCTATATCCTAACGAGGATCGAAACTGTGGCTGAAACATCGGGAAAGAATAAAAAATGCATGCTTAACGAGGAATTTTTCAGTTTCTTTATCTTAACATCGACGTAATATATCCATTTATATGTCTGAATATACGATGAAGAATAACAAATTACACAACTTTTATATTCATATCCTCTTCTTTTTTTATATAAAGTAAACGAACAGTCACGGAACTTTAGACAAGATATAAGATTACGGATGTCTGTTCTTCTTTACTGGACACGGCTGCTCGTTACTCTATATGGGCAACTGTAAAGAATCGCAGTGTATTAGAAATATTCCTTCTTCGCGGTAGACTAGAAAGATTAGCTAACGCGAATACTTACAGCCATACGAGAGACCCTCCAGGAAGCAACCAGCAAGGGTCACGCACTTTTTATCCTTGTTTCTGAGGAAGCCTACTTTGCACGAGCATCCTTTGGTGCATTTCTTGGACTGAAATAGTTGGGATCGATGAATTTCTTAAAGGGATAGTTTGGTCGATACAATTATTCGTACGATTACCTGTCTGCAAAACATGGGGTAAGGGTGCTTGCACGATACTTGACATTCGACGCAATCGGTAGGATACTCGCGTGGACCGCATTTAGGTGGTGCTATCGAACACAGAGAAAACGATTTCAAATTTCAGATTTACTGTATCATTTCTAATAAAATATTCGGTATCGAAGAAAGGTCAAGAATAAATAACTTATATCCTTGGCGAGAGCGATAGTTAGCACACTCCAGATGACAAAACGCCAAAATTCGTAGCGGAACAGTTTCTATTCTCGCCAATATTGGTACTGAAAATAATTTATTAACTTTTTGAATCAGTGCGTTTGCGATCTTCCTTTAACTTCTATTACTTCGGTCCAATTGAAATGAAACTTGAAATTATTAAATAAAATTAGGGTTACTGTTTTTCAGGGAAGACAGCAAGAAGGGAGTAAGTATTACCCTCGACCTTTCTTTATTTCGAAGATAGATAATTTATGGCTAACCTTCGGTGGTTGGCTTGGCGGTGGTGGTTGTAGGTTTGGGAGTGGTGGTAGGTTTTCGGGTGGTAGTAGTAGGTTTGGGGGTGGTAGTAGTAGGTTTGGGGGTG